CGAAATAAAAGCAATGTTCGATTCGCGGAATAATTAATGCGCCATTGGGGGAAAAAAAAAGACAAACCAACGCCTCTGCCACTCCCATGTGTATGTGTTGGCTGTTTTTCTGCTGTTTGTTGTTTGGTTTTCATTTAGCGTCAAGTGCAAATGTAGCATTTATCATGCACTCTTTCCTGGAACCTCCAGATACTATTCGTATCGCAAGTACAAACTTGTTTTGATTTCACTCATTGGGCTGCCGTCATACGAACCGCATTTTATCACGCTGCCTGACTGCCCAGATATATTTATGGCAAGAAATGTATAATTATCATAATGCAATAGGGTCTGGTCTGTCCATAATTTACATACATATTGCAACATTTATCGCTGATCCATCTGAACACCAACTGCTAAACGAAGCAACAAATTGAAACTATCTTTGCCAGACTCTGTGGGGCCAGCCAGCCAGCAGATGCCTCAGCAATAATTATCCAAACAATTGTATAATTGTATATACAAGTTCTAATTATTTGCACAAAAAGAACCTTGAAATTGATGACTGGCCGAGTGGATGAGTCTCTGCGTCTGCCTCATTTTGGCCTCTCTGGCGGCTGCGGCTTCCCAATTAGCAGTCCAGGCACACGCACACACGCCATAAGCGAATTAATTCCAGACATTTTTGTACTAATTCAATTGTTGCTTCACTTCTACAGGGACGTCATCTATAATGTCAGCCTGCATGGACTGAGGGAGATCAGCCGCTTGGAGTGGCACAGCACGGATGCGGACAGGGAGCTGTGCGCCCTGAAAGGCAAGCACGAATGGGACTGCCATAATTATTTGCGTGTCTTTGCAAAGCGAGACGATGGCCAGGTGCTGCTCTGTGGCACAAATTCGTATAAGCCACGCTGTCGTCATTATGGCCAGGTGGAGTCTGCGTCCGAGGATGCTAGCGCCTCGGGGCAGAGCATTGGCATGCACTACGAGATTACCAGGGATGTGGAGGCTCAAGGCTTGTGTCCCTACAGTCCGGCACACAACAGCACGTATGCCTATGCCGACGGGCAGCTGTACAGTGCCACGGTGGCGGATTTCTCCGGCGGCGATCCGCTCATCTACCGCGAGAACCTGCGCACCGAGCAGTACGATCTCAAGCAACTCAATCAGCCGGACTTTGTCGGCACCATCGAACGGAAGGGCTTTGTGCTGTTCTTCTTCCGCGAACTCTCGATGGAGTTCATGAACTTCGGCAAGGCCGTCTATTCCCGGGTGGCGCGAGTCTGCAAGAACGATCGGGGAGGACCCTACAACCATGGCAAGAGCTGGACCTCGTTCCTGAAGGCTCGCCTCAACTGCTCGGTGCCCGGCGACTTTCCCTTCTACTTTGATGAGATCCGTAAGTGGAGGAGTCACTCCCAATGGCAGCAGTCCGTTCTCATTCACTTTTATTCTCATCTACAGAGGCAATTAGTCCGATTGTGGAGCGTGGAGCAGATTCCCTGGTATATGCCGTATTCACCACCTCAGTGAATGCCATTCCGGGCTCGGCGGTTTGTGCCTTCAACGTGGACGATATACTGGCAGCCTTCGATGGAGACTTCAAGTCGCAGAAGGATTCGCAGTCCCATTGGCTGCCTGTGGAGAGGGAGGCTGTGCCCAAGCCGCGACCCGGCCAGTGTGTGGAGGATTCCCGCACGCTCACCAGCATCGCTGTGAACTTTGTCAAGAATCATCCGTTGATGGAGAAGGCCGTGCCGGCAGTGCACAGGCGTCCCCTGCTGACCAAAGTGAATCTGCACCACCGCCTCACGGCCATTGCAGTGGATCCACAGATCAAGGCGCTCAACGGCGCCCACTACGATGTCATCTACAGTGGCACGGACGATGGCAAGGTCACAAAGTTCATCAACATCCTGAACACGCACCCGAACTCCACTGTGGATCGCCTCAAGACAGTCGTCATATCGGAAATGCAGGTGTTGCCATTGGGCACGCCCATACGGGAGCTTGTGATCTCCTCCAAGAAGAACGCCCTGGTTGTGGTGAGCGACGGCAGTCTGGTCAGTGTACCTCTGCATCATTGCACGCTCATTGTCGACTGCGTTGGCTGCCTGAGCCTCCAGGATCCGATTTGCGCTTGGGATCTGCAGACACACGAGTGCAAGAATCTCGCCACCAGTCAGCACAAATTCGGCACAAAGACGTACCTGCAGAGCCTGAACACCACCAAGAAGGCGGCTGCCTCCCTCTGCCCCAATATGGCCCGTGATGGCCCAGGCGCTGAAACTGTTAGCTTCGTCACCATTGCTCCAGCACCAACGGAGGAGCAGAAGCTGCTGTATTCGAATGTTGGCTCCGCGGCGGGCAGCCAGCCCAGCTTGGAGCAGCAGCCAACGGGTGGCGATGACTTTGGCATGAACAAGATTACGCTGACCTCAATGGACCCAGAGGAGGATATGATTAATCTGAATGGTAGGTTGCCTGATGCTTGATGGCTGCTGCTGGATATAACATATGTTCTATTTGTTCCACCCAGTAGATCCACAGAAATCGATTGCCAGCGTGGATGAAATCAAGCAGGCCTCCAGTCCGGGCACCATGGTGCTCATGATTGTCGTTTTCATCACCTTCTTTGTGGGTGGATGCGTGGGCATTGCGTGTGTCAAGGCAAAGAACCGCTTGGAGGGCCAAATGGACGACAGCCACCACAATCACTTTGGCAAACCAATGTAAGTGTGGCAAACATGTCTCTACAGCTGTGAACGCTCTTTTAACAATGAATCTTTTTGCAGACAATTTAAAAACCAGAATAGCGGCAAGGATATCAATCTGCTAATGGGCTCCAATGCTTATGTTACCACACAGAAAACGCCGAATTTGGATCTAGAAAAGGATCGCAGTCATGAGTGCAAGAACTCCACAGAACATTTGGAAAAGGAGCTGCCCTGCAAGACGTCCACGCTAACGAAAGTGAAACGCACTTACATTTAATGCGGTAGCAGGAGAAGCTGCAGCAGCAGCAGCTTTCTGCAAAATTAGTCGAATTTCTATATATTCTATAACATATTTTCGTTGTTTATGTTGCTGTTAGTTGTAGGAGTACGAGTAGTAACCCGAAACCCCACCACATCCCTCGAATGGAACAGACAACAGCTTCGGGGATGCGTTTGAAACGCGTCTCGAGAGTAGAGGGCGGAGAAGCTGTTGCACCCATTTGTTTTATATGTTAGCCTCTAATATAATTTAATTGTATGTATTAATTGTCTAAGCTAAGGTTATCTGGCAAAATTTAGTTAAATTTATTGACAACAAAATTCGCGGGCTGCTGCCTCAGCGCGGGGCCAAGCAATCCGCAATTCCCTTTACGCCGACATTTCTTTGTCCAAGCTGGAAGTGCTTGAGCCCCGGGCTGAACGAAAAGCAGCCCAGACATGTCGGGCCGCCCCTTATGTGTATTCTATATGTATATTCTGTAAGTGCAAATTTTAGAGCTACACAAACACACACATATCACGATAGATACCCCAAACAGCATGTGGCCCTGCAGAGAAACCCAACCCGCAGCTCGAATAATTTCTCGAAATTCAAACGAATATTCTGCAAGTATTTTGTTAGACTGAATGTTTATTTTTTTCTGTATAATTGTGTTTTTTGTGGAGAACAGGCGAATGCGAGTGCGAACGACATAGACCGTGCAATAGGTCTATGCATTGTGGCTAACAACAGCGTAAAAATTGTATCTAACATAAGCTCAATAAGGAATTGAAAATAGAAATGTATTTTTGATAGTACTACTATATAAGCTAGGCTAAGCTACGAACAAAACTTCTATGAGGCTGTTTGATATGAACTGAGTCCCGCAGCCCCCAACATCATCATCATCATCATGATGATAACAACACGCACAAAAATACAAAAAAAGAAAAAACAAAAATAAAATTTAATCTGATGAAACAGCAAGCCTTATAAGTAACGTACAATAGAGTGTCGAATAATAGGCCTTAAATATATATAAAGAAGAATCTGGCAGAGATTATTTTTGCCAGAATAAATCAGCATTTTAATATTTTTAATATGTGTACGTTTTAAGCTGTTGTCCGTCCCACTGAAGATTTTACATGAAACAATGTACAATGGCAATTCTATTTTATAAAGTGTAAAATCCAATTTTCGTATAAATAATACATATATATATTTTTATATGCATGTCTATGCCTAGTGTCTAAGGATTCTACGCATAAGTAATCCTTTAAAGGAAAACATGAACAAAGCTTCACATAAAATATTTTGAAAACCAACAAAAAAAGTAATATAATCGTAAAGGAAAAGAAAAATTCTCATATTGTGATAGATTTTATTGAAATTTTATAATGATGAAATGCGATGCCTTTTTGGTTAAAAAACAATGATAGAGTCTGATTGCATGCATGATAATATACATACCTGTCTATAGGAGATCCTCCGATTGGAGATCACAAGATGGAACAAACTTCCATCGTGGAGAATTTTAAAGATTTTTTTATTGTGTATCCTGTACTTTGTATATTGTTGTATGTGTATGTATGGTATGTACAACCCGATAAGCAATTCGAAAATTTAATAAAGTCGTCATTTTTTCAAATACTTTGAATTCATTCTAGGGAATCTTGAAATCCCATTATCCAATGCTGAAGGAAAGTATTTTAAATCTTCCGCAATTTCGGGGGTCGCCATTTCGATATGCAGGTTTTCGATAGAAGTATGATTTCCGATAAACATGAGCATTAACCCATTGGCGACCATGAAGGTATTTAAAACATACATGATATATATTAAACTTCACCAATTTCAGTGCAGTTCAGGTGGATTATATTATTATCAGTTTGCGTGGTGAGTGAAGAGAAAAGATGTATCTACGCAGAGAGTTCACAAACATTATTTTTTAACTCGAGCTGCTTACCTCTTTAATTAGAGGGGTGTGACGTGGGTTAATTTATGGTATATCGGTATATTTAATAAACCTGCCGGTATATTATGGTATATTTGCTTGCACGTGCATTTGAATGTCTCCAAACAAAAGTTGTTTTTAGCGCATAAATAATTCATTTTAACATAAATGCAGTGATCCGTAAGTATATGCAAGCAACAACAGAATGGCAGCCATAACAGAGAAGTCGAAAGACACAAACACATTTCGGGTAAGTGGCCAGAGAAGTCTCACATGTTGCGCAGCGGCTCACATTTTTGCACCTTCTGCCTGCAGTTCAAGTCGTTCGGAGATCGCGTGAATGAAATCGACTTGCGCCACCTGGCCCTGTACCACATTGGGCACAGGAACGAGGAGCTCGACGAGGAGGAGGACGAGACCTACTTCCAGCAGACACTCCAGAAATGGAATGTCCTCAACCTCACGGAGGAGTACAACTATTTCAGCAAGCGCTGCGGGAAGATCGTCACCCTGCCGCAGCTGCTGCACCAGAAGGATTTTGTCATCGATCTGCTGCTGGAGCGACTCTCGACAGCCACGAACCTGTCGCAGCAGCCGCTGCTGGAACTTCTATATGTCCTGGCACGTGACCTGCGCGAGGAATTCTATCCCTACTTCCAGCGTGTGCTGGACCGTCTCATCTGCCTGCTCAACACCCAGGATGCCGAGCAGCTGGAGTGGACACTGATATGCCTCGCCCATCTGTTCAAGACTCTGAAGCCCTACCTGAAGCGAAACATTGGCATTGTCTTCAACGCCATTCTGCCCCTCCTGGACGAGCAGCACTACGCCGAGCATGTGATCAACTTTGCTGTTGAATGCTTCGCGTACATTGCCCGTGATGTGCGCGACTTCCCCCGCTTTCTGACCTACGTGCTGAAGACAGTGCTGCGGGAGCAGGTCGAGAGTGTCCACGGCTGTGGCAGGCTGATCTACGAGATACTTCGAGGCGTCAACGGGCAACTGCACAACTCGGCTGCGGATATCTTTGCCCATGTGCTGGAGGTGCTCGTCGGCCGGGATGACAGCCACAACACGGCGGCCCAGGCAGAGCTCTTGGGCGACATTGTGGAGTATTCGTTGGGACTGCTGTTGAGCTTCCTACGCCCCGATCAGAGTGGCGTGCTCTGGCAACAGCTCTGCTCTGCAGCGAACCGCGAGGCCGTCGACGCTGCACGACTGATTGACTTGATGCTGCCCCTGGTCACGCACAAGGATGGACGCTATGTGGCTGAGCTGCCTCTGCTCGTTCCCACGCTGCTAAAGTTGCTGGAGCGGAGCGCGGATCCCCTGCAGCCGCTAACGACGCTGGTTACCAGCCTGCTCAAGGCGCAGCACGCTCAACTGGCGCAGCTGGATGCCAGTCGGCTGCTGCAGAAGCTGTTGGCCACAAGCAGAATATCCGCGGATGTGTATGAGGATTCCATTCTGCAGCTGCTGGACTATCAGCAGTTTGAGATCTTGGTTCTGCCGCACGTCATCAGCTACTACGAGGAGGAGCTACTGCCCCGAGCCTTGGAGCTGCTGGCTAGGGTTGTGCAGCACAAGAGGCCGCTGCAGGTAGATGGAACTTCACTCTCCCACTGGACAGTCTATCCCCTCCAGCTGAAGCAGAAAGATACCATCAAAAGCGTCGAGCAGCAGCTCCTCACCCTGGATGTGGCCACAGAGGAGCATCTGCTGCTCCTGCTGCTGTCCCCCCATCTGCGGGGCTTCAGCAAGCAGCCGCTGGAGCAGACACTCCAATCGAACATTGAACAACGCCTGCGCAGCCCCAACTCGGACTACACTCTGCTGTTGCTGCTGCTGCAGACCCATGCGCTGCTCAAGTTCAAGCTTCCCGCTGCACTTGCCTCCAAGCTGCATGTGTTCCTCACGCCCGAACTGGCTAGAGACATCCGAGCCGTGGCCTGTCTGCAGCTGCTGCTGCTGGAAACCCCAACGAAAGAGCTCTCCGCCTCTGAAGAACTACTGACTGCCGTCTCCACGCTGCTCAGCCAGCCGCAGGCGGAGTACCGACGCATAGCAGCCCACTGCCTGGATCTGCTGAATGCCGGCAGCAAGTGCAATCCCTACTCGCACTTTTACGCCGCTTCCTGCGTGGAACCCACGGTGCACAACTACCGAGAGCTGCTCCTCGAGCTGCAGCAACTGGAGCCAACATCCGCCCAGTTCAAGCAGTACTCCCAGCTGCCCCACTTCAAGGAGCATGCGGTGAGCCTGCTCCTAGGTCTGCTATACAAGAAGTTTAAGTTCTTGTGGGCCCCGGTCCAGCAGCTTCTTGCCGCCTACGCAAAGGTAATGGGAACAGACGAGTTCTGGAATCTCTTCAGAGCGAAACTCCTCGAATCAGTCGCCTGCATAGACTACGAGGTGAACTCCACCAGCCTGCTGCAACAGCCCCAACGGGAGGGGTATGTGTCCGCTGCACTGACCCTGCTCCTGCCCGAGGCTGGGGCGCAGCAGCTGACCCTGCAGCAGGCGCTCAGCTATCGCCAACTGCTATGGCAGTGCCTGCCCAAGCTGGGAGCTCTGGCCGAGGTGAAGAATGCCGATGTGGTGCGACTCTTCCTGCAGTTCGTCGAGCAGGAATACCGCGCACAACTGGAGAGGACAGAGCACACCTGGAACGTCAACGAGGCAACAGGTAAGCGTATCAGTTCGTTGTACATCGAATCGTCATTGAATCTCATTTTTCCTCTGCAGCGGAAGACGTGGAAGCCGATGAGGATGAGGAGAATGAAGCGCCGAGTGGAGTGCGTTCCCGCCAGAAGCGGCGCACGCACAATGTCCATGCCAAGTTCATACTCCAAACGCTGCAGCTGAAGCTGGCCTGCTTCGTGTCGCAGCCAAACCCCAAGGCTCTGCATCGACAGGCCGAGATGCACGCCTTCTATCTGGAGCTGTTGGCTGGGCCCAACGCACAACTGCAGCAGCTGGCGCTTGACTGTCTGGCCGCCTACAAGCAGCCAGCTGCGCTGGTGCAGCAAAAGGCACAGCTGACGGGACTGATCGATGAGGCAAAGTTCAAGACGACGCTGAGTGGCTTCGAGTTGGCCAGCATTCCAGCGGAGCAGCGATCCCAGCTGATGCCTTACATGCTGCGCGTGCTCTACGGCAAGATGCTGACGAAGGGTGTTCAAAAGCAGCTGAGTGCCCAGCAGCGCAAGACCCTCATCCTGCGCTTCCTGGGACAGCTGGAGGAGTCGGAGATCATTGAGTTCCTGCAAATGGCCTTCGGACGCTTCAGCGAATACACAGATAAACCGGTAGAGGAGCTGCACCGCCACGTCCAGAGCTCGTACGATTCCTCTGCAGTGATTGCTGCCAAGCAGCTGCAGCGGATTGTCAATCTCCTGGAGCTCATACGCAAGGAATTTGCTGGCAGACTCACTGCAGATTTTCAGGTCTACGTACTCAAGTTGCTGCTGCTCGTGGGCAGCGTCTCGCAGGAGGTGATCAATGGCCAGGGAAAGCTGGCGGCTGCCTACAAGAATGTGAAGCACTCGGCACTGCAGACGCTCGGCAATTACTTTGGCCAACTGGTGGATATGGAAGAGCTGTGGCAGCAACACGAGATGAACGCCATATTCGAGGTTTACGTGTGGCCAGGGCTCGCCCGACTGCCACACGACTCCATACACACGCCCACGCCGCTGCTGAAGCTGTTGCTCCTGTGGGGAGCTGAGCCTCGCTACCAGAAATGGCTCAACCAGAGTACCTCCCCGGATGAACCCACCGTAATGGCTCAGCTGATGGCATTGCTGCTCAACGACAAGGCCAAGCCCGTGGTGAAGCGTTCGCTGCTGCAGCTGGTGGAGCAGCTGCTGGAGGCGGCAGCCAGCGAGGAGTATGGCGTGGAAGCACTGGCTATTATCCAGCCACACATCCCGGCCATTCTGCAGCAGTTGCAGACCAGCTGGCGGCACCGCAAGGCCGGCAGACAGATGCTGGACAAGCGGGAGCTCAACATTCTGACGCTGATTACGTCACACGTGCAGGAGCCAGCCACCTGTGAGCTGCTGCTGGAACTGGTGCTGCCCATATTCACCAAGCAGTCGGCCTCCGCCGGACCCGAGACTGTCGTGCAGCTGATCACCACGCTCTCCAATCTCAGTCAGCGTGTGCCCAGGCCCCAGGATTATGTGCGCCAACTGGCGCCGCTCTTCGAGCAGGTGCACGTTCTGCCCGCGAGGAAGTTGCTCTGCGATCTGCTGGCGGACATGGCCAAGCGGCTGCACAAGGAAGCCAAACAGAAGCCCGAACTCTCCGACACTGCCGCGTCGCTGCGGGAGTGGGCGAGGATTGTGCTGCTGCTGAATGCGTGGGACAAGCGCTGGCTGGAACAGCCCGACTACGACAAGCGACTGGAGGGACTGTCGGAGCTGAAGCAGCTGGTGGAGCACAAAGACCAAAAGATTGACCTGCAGCTGGGCGTGCTGGTGGTCTACAATTGCTTCTACATGCTGCGCCACGTCTCGGATCTGGGCATAAGGGTCAACATTGGGGAGCTGCTCAAGGCGCTGCTCCCGCAGCTGACTCTCCAGCTGGAGGCCAAGGAGGATGTACAGTTCTGGCTGGAGGACACATTGCTGCCACTGCTGCAGCGTTCGCTGAAGGACGAGCGGAACGAGCACGCCAGAAGCGAAGCCATTGGCTTGCTGGGTGAACTCTCGCGCCATTGCTCTGCCTCACACGAGATCTTTCGCGATCTCTCCCCGTTGGCGGATAAGCACGACCTGGAGGTGGACTTCTTTGAGAATATGCTACACTTGCAGACCCAGCGCCATGGTCGTGCTCTGCAGCGACTCGTCAACATCTCTGGCGGCAGCTGGCGGCAAGCGCCGCCCTGTGCCCGCACCCTCACGCAGTTCCTGCTGCCGCTGGCCACACGATATCTGCTCAGCGAGCGGCACACGGGCAAGCACACGCTGGTGGATGCCGCCATCGAGGCTGTGGGCGTGATGAGCGAGCTGCTGCCCTGGACGCAGTACCATGCTGTGCTGCGCTACTACCTGCAGAAGCTGCGTTACTCCCATGCGCAGCAGAAGCAGTGCGTCCGTTTGGTGGTTCGTATTCTGGATGCCTTCCACTTTGATCTGACGCAGGCAGAGGCTGATGTCGCCACGCTCTCGCGCCTCAAGCAGAAGCTGACGGAAGCCCAGGAAGAGAAGAAGCCCGCAGTTAAGGCGGAAAAGGCAGAAGGGGAAGGAGAAGAGCAGCCGCCAAAGGAGGAAGACGACATCGACTTTGAGGGAGAGGCTGAGGCGGCTGAAACAGTGGAGCCAGTGGTGCTGCATCAACGTAACCAACTCTTGGCACCCAATGCAGCCAAACGCGTCATGTCCACCATCACCACGGTGCTCCTGCCCACCCTCAATCGTTCCATCACGGAGAAGACCAACTACGATGCCAAGCACAAGGTGAATCGCCGTCGGCTGAGCCACGAGCGCGAGGAGGAGGAGATTCAGCGTGTGCCCATTGCGCTGGCCATGGTGAAGCTGCTGCAGAAGCTGCCCATCGAACTGCTGGAGAATAGCCTACCAGGTGAGTTCCGCACTGACTCCCCTAGTGCCTCCGCAACTGACTTTTCTCCCTAGGAATCTTCATGAAGGTCTGCACCTTCCTGCGATCCCCCCTGAAGTCGGTGCGAATGCTGACGCGCGATATTCTGAAGAAGATTATGATCACGCTGGGCGGCAGCTATGTGGGCATGCTCCTGGAGCAGCTGCAGTCGCTGCTCACGCGTGGCTTCCAGGTGCACGTGCTGTCCGTCACCCTGCACGGAGTTCTGGACGCCCTCCGAGGCGAACTGAAGCCAGAGCACATTGAGAGCTGCCTGCACAATCTGCTGGAGGTTGCCCTGAACGACATCTTCGGGGATGTGAGCGCCGAGAAGGAGGTGGAGAAGATTGTGTCGCACACGCCCGAGGCCAAGCCGAGTGCCAAGAGCTATCTGACACTCCACATAGCCGCCAAGCACATTCGGGACAACTGTTTGCTGGATCTGCTGCTGCCCTTCAAGGAGCATCTGCTCCGCTCGCACTCCCGCAAGGTCACGCAGAAGATACAGGAATGTTTTGCCAAGATTGTGGCCGGCCTGGTGGACAACGTGCACATTGGGAGGGAGAGTCTGTTGATCTTCATCTACGGTACGATGTCGGAGAGCATCAGCGACCTGCTGCCGGGCACACAGAAGCGGCAGTTAACGGCCAAGGAGCAGGCGCTGATCAAACGCGCTCGTCCCGACAGCCTTATACTGCAGCCAGCACCGGGCCGGCGCAGTGTGTCGATTGGCAACAAGCTGGTCAAGTCGAATGCCCAGGCCAATGCCCACATCCTAGTGGAGTTCGGACTTGAGCTGCTGCACTTTGTGCTGAAGCGCAAGAAGCTCTCGGAGCTGGACTACCAGCCCTTTCTGCACCCCATGCTGCCGCTGCTGAGGGATGCGCTGAGCAGCAACCACGCGCGGACCACCACCTACGCCCTGAAGTGCTACACGGCCATTTGGATTGGGGAGTACGAGTTGTCGGAGCTCGATGCCGAGCAGCTGCAGCCAGTGGTGTCGCGCATGTTTGAGATCGTGAAGAACTTCTCCAGCTTTGGGGCCACGCGTCAGGAGGAGAACGCCCAGCTGGTGCGCGGCAGCTTCAAGGCGGTGGTGGCGTTGCTCCGCAAGTGCCAGGATTATCAGCTCAACGACGAGCAGATCGAGCAGCTGCTGCTGCAAATCGAACAGGAGCTGCAGGAGGGCGAGTGCAGCAGCCAGACCATGTGCTTCACGCTGCTCAGAGCGCTGGTGGGCCGCAAGGTGGACACTCGCTCGCTGCACGATCTGATGAAGCGTCTCTGCGATCTGTCCATCATTTCGCAATCGGACTACGTGAGGGACGAGTCGCGCGGCATTCTGCTCACCTACATCATGGAGTATCCGCTGCAGAAGCGCGTGGATCAGTTGGTCAAGTTCATGTCCGTCCAGCTGTTGTACACGCAGATAGCTGGCCGACTGTCGGCCATCCAGTTCATGCACTCGATCATCAACAAGTTCCCCTTGCTGCTGCTTGCCAAGCAATCGGAGTTCCTGTTCCTCTCGCTGGGCACGCGACTCGTCAACGATGAGGATCCCTCCTGTCGTCGCAGTGTGGCCGCTGCCTTGGAGGCGTTGATTTCGCGCCTCACCAAGCTGGATCGCCAGCCTCTGCTGGAACTCACTTTGCTGTTCTTCACCTCGGAGCAGTCCAGCCAGAAGCCGGGTGTACGCGAAATGGCTGCCGCACTTCTCTCCCGGTTTGTGCAGGCGGAAAAGGCGGGCTTTGCAGAGCGACTGCCCCTGGTGCTGCCCACATTGGTGAATATCCTAACCCTGGGCGATGCGGAAGCCAGCGGGCGGTATGTGCGTGCTCCGGGTAATTTGGCCACCGAAGTGGACGAAGAAAATTTGCAAAAGAAGCGGAGGAGAAAGGTAAGACATTTCCCCATTGATTTCCCAGCGGATTCTAAAGGGTTTCGTTTCAGCACTCTCAAACTACTCCCGATGAGGAGCTGCTGCTGGCCGGCCAGGACACTGAGTCGCGATTGGAGCAGCAGCAACGCAGCGCAGACCATCAGCTCATCCAGCTGCAGTATTGCCTGCTGAAGATCATGGAGCACTGCGGCGAGGCCATGCTGGCGGACAAAGACATTTCCGACACTGTCGATCAACTGGCCTACGGCTGCCAGCGCCACTTGGGGCACGAACACAATTGGGTGCGCTGCAATGCGGCCAAGCTGCTGACTCATCTCTTGGCCCACTACGACTACACCTATGTGGGCCAGCAGCTGGCGGGCGTCAAGCGAGAGGATGGCGAGGAGAAGTCGCTGGAATTTATTTACGCTCAACCTGCGCAGGATATCAAGTCGCTGGTACTGGATCTGTGTGCCCAGGTTACGCCCGGCGAGACGGCACAGGAAATGATTGACGAACTGTCCAAGATTCTGCTGTTCGTGGGACACATGCTGCGGGATGTCCCATTCAGTCTCAAGCAGGAGAAGGACTTGGAAGCGCAGGAGGACGAGGAGGAGCTAGAGCGAAAGCCGAGCAACAAAATCAACCTCAACTGGCTGGTGCGAAATATACGCTTTCTGGTGAACAAAGAAGTGACGAAGGCACCACACGACACCAGCACGGTATGTACAATCACAATCTTGCCTTTTTGGTTACCCATTGATCGTGCATCTATTGCTTTACTTTTTCCTTAGCGCACCGCCATGTTCACGCTCATTGAGGCACTCAGCACGTTGCTCAGTGTGGAGGTGGTTACCCGGCTGGCTCCACCTCTGCTCCAGTCATTGGTGCGTGAGATGTCAGAGGAGGATCAGAATGTCGATGCGGAACTGCGTCAGCTAGCACTACGCGTGGGCAGTCGGCTGCGAAAGCGAATTGGAGCGGATATCTACGATAAGCTTCGGAATGTGTGCCAGACCAAGTTGATGGTGCGACGGGCAGAGCGGCGCAAGGCCGTCGCCCAGGAGAAGGTCCATGATCCAGAGCGTGCGGCCAAGCGCAAGGCTGGAGTGCAGGAGCGCAAGAAGGCTGCGAAGCGTCTGAAGACAGCGGTGATTCGTGGCAAGGCGCCAGACACCAAGCAGAAGCTGAAAAAGCGCAAGAGGAAAGCGGAAATGGACGGATTTTAATTAGTTAATCGGCTGTTTGCCTTAATATAAGTATTTCTAAGTAGAGTGGAAATAAATCACAGTAGAATTCACAAATTTAGCGCATCCCAAATACCAAGATAAAAGTTTATTTGAATTTGCCGGCGTTCCATGAGTATTTCGATCGATATCGATTTGTTTTTGCATATGCAAGTATTTTTTTGTTTGAAGTTGACAAGCAACAAGTTGTTAAATACGTAACATTCCATTCCCACTCACGTAACGTCATGAAAACTAGCCAATCTTATACAAAATTTAGTCATCAATCAGAGAAAATTATAGTTTTAGCGCTGAGAAAGCTAACTAGCTGGTAATATTTAGCAGAATATCAAAATCGAAGAAAATGTTATGGGATAACCGATAATTTACGGTATATTTTGACAATGAAAAGATATATTTGGTATCAATTCGCGGTCACACTGGTCTCAAAGTTAATTTTTTTAATTTTTAAATGCTGCGTAACTGCGTGATCCGGGGATTGGCTCGGAGTCGCCACCAGTCGAGGGACGCACACAACGCCAGCAACGATATCTACGATGTGGTTGTCATTGGCGGCGGACATGCCGGCACTGAGGCCTCTGCAGCCGCTGCTCGGATGGGTGCGCGCACGTTGCTGCTGACACACAAGCTGGAGACCATTGGCGAAATGTCTTGCAATCCCTCGTTCGGCGGCATAGGAAAGGGCCACTTGATGCGAGAGGTGGATGCCCTGGACGGAGTCTGTGGGCGCTGTTGCGATGTGTCTGGAGTGCACTACAAAGTGCTCAACAAGCGACGCGGACCGGCAGTGTGGGGACCGCGGGCACAGATCGACCGGCAGCTGTACAAGAAAGCTGTTCAGAAGGAGCTGCATAGCACGCCGAACCTGGAGATCAGAGCGTCGGCTGTGGACAACATCCTCATAGAAGATGAGCAGCATCAGCACAAAAGACGTTGTGCTGGCGTTGTCTTGGCCAACGGAGAAGTGGTTCACAGTCGAGCGGTTGTGCTCACAACCGGAACATTCTTAAGGGCACACATCAACATTGGACTGGAGGTGCGACCGGCTGGACGTATGGGAGATGCTCCAGCGAAGGCCTTGGGCGAGGCCATAGACAGACTGGGCTTCCGCATGGGACGCCTAAAGACAGGAACGCCGCCACGGATAGCCAAGAGCAGCGTCGACTACAGCCAACTGGAGCGGCACGACGGAGATGATCCTCCGATGCCATTTTCATTTCTCAACAACCAAGTGTGGCTACCAGCCAAGGAGCAGTTGCCTTGCCATCTCACCTACACGACGCCGCTGGTCAACGACATTGTGAGGAATAATCTCCACGTGAATCGTCACGTTACCGAGGAGATAACAGGCCCTCGCTACTGCCCCTCCATCGAGTCGAAGATTCTACGATTTGGCGCAAGAGTACATCAAGTGTGGCTGGAACCGGAGGGCCTGGATAGCCCCTTGGTTTATCCTCAGGGAATTTCGTGCACATTACCCCATGAGCAGCAAGTCGAGCTGGTGCACGCCATCAAGGGACTGGAGCATGCCGAAGTGGTGCAACCTGGTTACGGTGTGGAATACGACTTCATTGATCCCCGCGAGCTGTTCCCCACGCTGGAGACAAAACGGGTGCCTGGTCTCTTCTTTGCCGGCCAGATAAACGGGACCACGGGCTACGAGGAGGCAGCTGCCCAGGGAATTGTGGCCGGTGCCAATGCAGCGGGCAAAACGCGCCACGCAGACGGAAGGCAGCTGACAATTAGTCGAACGGAAGGCTACATCGGTGTACTGGTGGACGATCTAACGTCTTTGGGCACCAATGAGCCCTACCGCATGTTCACCAGTCGGGCCGAGTTCCGACTGTCCCTGCGGCCTGACAACGCCGACATGCGGCTTACCGAAAAGGGCCATGAATATGGTCTGGTCTCGGAGCATCGCTTCCGGCACTTCAAGCAAGCGGAGGAGAGACTACAGTCAGGCATGGAGGCGTTGAGGAAACTGCGCAAGCACAGCAATTACTGGCGGCAGTCGCTGGACCTGCCCACGTCCAAAGCCTCTGTGGAAAAGACTGCCTTCGAGATGCTTGCCATACCTGCCGACAACATCACCGTGGATAAGCTCATCAATCTGTTCCCAACGGAGCTGACTTGGATGCGCGACGACACCAACCTGGCCGAGAGGCTTAAGATAGAGGCCCTCTACTCGTTCTTTGTTGAGGAACAACAACGGGACGTGGAGGATGTGCGCCGGGAAGAGCGACTGGCCATTCCCGCTGACATTGACTACTTCTCCAAGGTCCTCAGCCTCTCAAACGAGGAGCGCCAGAAGCTGAGCCTCATTCAGCCACAGACCATCGCTGCTGCCAGTCGAATCCAAGGTGTCACCCCCTCCACAATCGTGCGGATAATGAAGTACGTGAAGAAGGCAGACGTTGCCAAGGCATAGGACAATATAAGCTAATTGCTAGTTATATATGTACGTATGTACATAAGTGTTAATAAATTTACATATGATGTATAGAAGATCCTTGCGTTTATTGGGTCCAGACAGGCTGCTTGGGTTTTTTTTTGGGAAGCCGTGGAATGCGCATATATTAATTCTGCAGTCGCTACTTTCTGAAAAATACTGTAGCATACTTTTAGTTACTTTGCGGCTGAAAAATAAAGTTTCGTAACAGCCAGCTCTTGACACAATGAAAAAACATAAGAACCAGCTACTTTCTGCTGGTTTCTGTTGGCCTGGTACTTTTCTGGTTTTCGGCCATTCGAGCGAAGCCATTTCCAAAGTTGTTTGTTGTTGTACAACAATTTTTGTTTGTTGTACAATAATTGTTTGTGTTAAAACAACAACAACAACAACTTTTGTTGTACAACAACATCAAATTGACAACAACAACAGGGCCGACTTTTTTTGTTGTTTGCTCCTTTATTTGAGGGCTGATCAGGACATGCCACACCTCCTCGTGATCGGGACAAAGTCCAGGATCGTTTGCAATCCCTTCGGCTGCAAGGACATCAAGGAAAATGCCATTTTAATATAGTTTTATAAGCAGAATTCGATAAACCCTATAACTCGGCTCTTTCCTGTCGGATCAGGACGCGCTTGTGTCCTTGTGAGCGGGAGAGCCTTATGCCTTATGCTTGAAGCCATCAAGGATCTCAAGGACTGCAGGACATGGCTGTTTTAGGCAATTTAAAAATTGAACTCATTTCAGTCTGAAAGTATGCCCTGATTTTTAGACTCAAAGCAGCCCCCAAAAGATACTTCATAAATTGAACAAAATACGACCACGGCACCCCAAAAGTATGCTAACCTTTTAGTTGTAAAAAATGCGTGTGGTCATTAAATTTATTTAAGAAATGGGTAGCTTTGCATATCCTAATCCAAGTCGGCCTTACTCGCAAATTGCAAATCGGTTACTTCGATGGAGAACTCCTGTAACCCAAGTAGGACCCGCCAGCCTTCCTAGAACTTCTGCTACAGCTGGACTACCATTTAGTTGAGCTCAATGTTGGGTTGGACGCCACCTTGCCAGGGAAGTTCTTAAGGAAAAAATCACTGGGCAAATGAATTGAATGCTTACATACGGTTTATTTCATAAAATCATAAATGCCTTAGGTAATGTTGCACAAGATTGTTTAAATGTTGGTTTCGCATATCGTTTGCCACATGGGTTGAACGCTGTATTTATACTGGTGCGCTGTTTTGTTTGTAGTTTGAATCGTTTGCCTCTGGCCATACCCGCCACTCGTGTGGGAATCGTGGGAGGAAAGTGATGATTTGGAATTGCATTTAAAGATTGAGTGGTATGTACTTGTGAGCTGGAAGTTGGAAATGTGTGATCGATCGTTCGATCCTTTTCTGTTAATGTTTCAATAAGTTTCGCATATAAGTGCAGCGGGTAGCGGGTTGTCCAGTGGTCTCAAGAGTGTGTTGTTGCTGTATGATCTGTTTCGGTATTTCTGTGTATTTGGTTTTCTGACTTTTGATTGCGTTTTCGGTTAGCTTACAATTTAAATGTTATACACTTTGTATTCTGGTTTACACACACAACGAAGATTGAGGGAGAAGTACAGTACATTTAATTAATTTGGTTTTGTTTTCATTTGTTACGTTTTGTTTTTTATTGTTTAGGTTGTATTTGAAACTATTTTTGCTTTAATTGATTAGCTATCGTCGCATGGCATTTGTGGATTAAGTTTATTAGATGCACGCCAATCGATATCAGCTATCAGTTATCGGTAGCGGTATCGGTATCGGTATCGGTATCGTTATCTGTATCTGTTAATTATCCAAGAATCTATTACGATTAGTTTACTAAAATATATTATTCACTTTCAGTTTTACTGGTACATACACATAGTTTTTGTCAAAAGGAAAAATCGACTTGCATATGGCAGAATTTGTAAGGAATTGTGATCGGAACATCTCGGTGTCTCCTCCGTCTGCCCCTCTGCGTGGATCTGCTGGAGTGGAGTGCAACTCCTTCGATCTGAATTTCCAGTATTCGCACTCATCCGCAATTTGGTTTGGTTTGATTTGATTTGATTTTTTTTTGTCTTTTTTGTTTTCATTTTATAATATCACAGATTGCTCGAGATTCATGCATTAAAAAAATAATATAATAAATCTATTATACGTCACTTAGCATCTTCAAATTGTAGGCAATCTCAAACGGAAAAAACTCTTTGGGAAAAGGCGAACAAAAACTATACATAGAATATCTATAGATACCCTCGAGACATTCGCTGGGGTTTATGCCATTAGCTACTTACTATAAACATCAATTACAGAGTGTGATTAAGAAGGGACACCCACCACACCTCTCTCTCCCGCTCTTTGCTCTAGCTTGTCCTGTGTTTTCCTCAAACTGTGTATAAACGTATTTGAAAAAGAAAAAGAAAACGAAACGAAACGAAACGCTAAGGGGCCAAAGGTTTGCACACAAAAGTTCACACAGATCAAATTTCGAAAAATAATTTAAGCCTTTTTGCTGTATCCCTTTGATTTGTTATCTAAATTTCAGTTCCGTTTTTGTTTTGTCCCCCACTTTGTATTTTTTGTTGTGTGTTTCAATTTCTCCCATTTGTTCGTACTCTCCAAATCACAATTATTAGCAATTTAAGAATAAATTATAGCTACTCAGTATGTTTTTGTTGTGTTTCTGTTTCTGCTTCTGCTTCTGCTTCTGCTTTTTCCTCTTTCTGCTTGTATTTTATTGTGTATATATAAATTTCTTAATTTAACAGAGGTTTTAGTCTAACATTTACAACTATCGGTAAGGAGAGCCGACACCACACACACACACACGCACACACACACACACACACACACACACACACAAAGACTACACTCAGAGTTCTATGCAAGTGCCTAAAAGATCTTACAATGATAATTCATTCTGTAATTATTTCACAATATATATTTTACATTTAATGCAGTTTCCCCATGGAGAAACATATTGAAAATGCCTTCCGATTGCTGTAGAATTGTATTCAACTTGGGTTGGGTTTGGTTTGGGGGTTAACATTAGATTGTAACACACCGAGAAGAAACAAATATCTGATATCTGTTATCCATTATACAATTATACAATTATGGGAATTTATGTAGATGGTTTGCTATTGCTGTGCTCCATTTGTTTGCGCCTGTCTTCTCCTACAGCTTCAGGAACTCGTCGAGCATTCGCTTGCGCTGCTGATGGAGCGCCCGTTCCGAGAGCAAATACATGCCAATGTCGCCAAAGTTTTTCGCTAGTTAGTTGTTCGAGTTGCTGAAGAGTTGGTGTCATAAGGCGGTGGCCTCCTCCGAGCTGTTGCTGCGGCCCAGTCCACCCAGCGCGGGCTTGCTGTCTGCGCCATCTGCAAATACACCGAAGGGAGGGTTGGGGAGCTGTCAGGTCAGTTTACTATAAGTTCCATCACGGATCGATCGGTGGGCAAACGACAAATAATAATTGTACTTTAAATGGTAAACAAAAAGGATTTATTCGGGCAATCTCTAATGGTATACGCTTCACATTTAAATAGGGGGGCAAATAATAATTAATGATAACTAAACTAAAGTTTAGGGGGTTTAAAAACATTCAGAATTGGCTCTAACCAGCGTTGGCAAATACATTACAAAAAATTCTTGTAGCATAAATAAAAAGATAAGATAAGATCTCCGATTAAACAACTAAATTATCGAGTAGTTAATGTTACTGAAGGTAGATGTTAACTAGTTCCGATCCAAGGCGACGACTTTTGCAAACTTTCAACTTAAACCTAAACCAATCGAGACACTCGGGTGGGCGCATCATCTGCCACTGGCCACTGTGGCCACTGTGGCCCCTTGCTCGCTCTCTGTGGACCCTGTCTTTGTGGTGGCACTGGTGGACACCTCTTCTGCCTTGCCATCTTTTATGTTCGTGCTGCTGCTGACCACTGGCGGTGGCGTGCTGCCACTCGTTGTGGAGGTCACACCACCCGAGGCAGAGACGGTGTCTGACGAGGTAGCCACAACTGACACGGGCACTGGCGACGCAGACAACCGTGTGCGCGGCTTCTCCTCGAGAGCTTCCCCGGCGTCTGGCTTGGTGGCAGGGGACGTCGGTGCAGTCGACTCTAGAATCTTTGGGGTCTCCTCTGAGCTTTTACCTGCTGCTGCTGCTGCTGCTGCTGCTGCTCCAGCTGCTGCTGCAGTGACGCCACTGCCAATCGCTGGCAGCGACGTATTCGTCTCCGAGGGCGGACTGGCGCTGCGGCGCGAAGAGTTCTCCGGCGAGCTGTCGGGGTGCAGTGGCTTCTCGGGCGCTGCATTTGGTGTGGCTGGCTTCTTGTCGGTGGCCGCTGGTGGCGGGGAGCTCTTCATGGACTGCTCTTGCTCCTTGATTACTCCTCCCGCACCCTGCTCCTTGCTCTCGCCCTGCGACGCTCCATTGGACTCGACGCCGTTCAGCTCGTGGTTGGATGTGGCCTGGCCACTGCTGGCATTGGACGTCGCCTGGTTGCTCGAATTGGAGTTGGATCCGGTCAGGTCCAGGGTGGCTGGTTCATGCGTGGCCGGAGCCGCAGCTGCCTTCTCGATCATTGCCGACTGTTGGGCTGCCGCAGCCACAGCCGCCAGGTGATGCCTCATCGCGTGTGGGCTGCCCCCGGCACGTCCTCCGTTGGAGGAGGCAGCTCCAGCGATGGGTGGCGTGATCTTGGGCGAGCTGGGATGGGACAGCGGCTGCTGTTGGTGGGCAGCGGTTGGTGTGAGGCCGCTGGCAGCTGCCGCCGCTGCATGCATCGCGGCCAGGTGTCCGTGGTGGTAGTAGTGACTCATTGTGGGAATGTGCGAGCTGGCCGTGGAGGTGGTGAGCGCTCCCCCGCCGCTGCTGCTGAGGCTGATGCTGCTGGGCGTCGAGGTGGCCGCCTGCTGCTCGGAGCTCAGCTTAACGGCGGCCGTCAGGTTGAGGCTGCTGTGCGGCGAGGATGCGGACGAGCTGGAGCCGGCAGTCACCGGAATGGAGTTGCTGTGACCTCCTCCGCCGCCGCCACCCGCTGAGGACGTGTGCGGTGGCAGCTGGTGGGCGGCCATGGAGGCGGGATGATGCGGCGACATGTGTGGATGGCTCAGGTTCAGGCTGTGAGGATGCGCACTCAGACCCAAGGCTGCCGCCGAGAATCCTGGATGCGTCAGACCCGCTGCTCCCGGATGCGCCAGCCCCATGGCCGCCTGCTGCAGATGATGCTGCAGATTGGGCCCGTGTCCGCCGAGTGCCGCCACGCCGGGCAGCCCCGCCATGCCCAGATTGAGGCCCATGGCCGCATGCGGGCTCTGTCGCTGGGCATTGGCCGCCGCCGCATGATAGTGCGACATGCCGGGCAGGCCGTGCAGCGATCCGGGCGGACCGCGCAGACTCAGGTTGAGGTGGGGAATCATGTTGCCGAGCAGGGTGCGGTTCAGCGGCGAGTACAGCTGATTGGAGTAGTGATGGGAGGCATTCAGCAGCTGCTGGCGCTCCCTCTCCCGCTCCTCGTCGCGCATCTTGCGCTCCCGGGCCTCCTTCTCCTTCTGCTCCCGCTCGCGCTGCTCCTTCTCGCGCTGTTCACGCTCTCGCTCTCGCTGCTCCTTCTCTCGTTGCTCCTTCTCTCGCTGCTCGCGCATCTCTCGCTCCTTCTCCCGCATCTCACGCTCCTTCTCGCGGTGCATCTCCCGCTCGCGCTCCTCCTCGCGCGCCAGCCGTGCCCTGTGCTCCTCCTCCAGCTTGATGCGATCGTGCATGGCCGGCGAGATGCCCAGCGCGGCGCCCGGCATCATCGAGTACAGGTGCGAGTAGGGCGAGGCCATCTGTGGGTACAGCGCAGCCGCATGGGGATGCGTGTGATGGGCACCGGCGGCACGGAACAGCTGATAGCGATGCTCCAAGTACAGCGGATCCGAGTACTGCAGTCCCGCAGGGTTCAAAAATGCTGCAACGAATCGAACATTAGAACTGGACAAAGCTAGAATTGTGGCCCTCGATTGTGCTTACCTGCTGGTGGCAGACCCGGCAGGCCCGGAAAGTGTGAGTAGGCCTCCAGGGGGAAGGCACCCGCCGGATGCATCAGCCGCTCGTCCGATCTGTACGGCTGAAAGCCGCTCCTGGCCAGCATCTCTGGCTGCATGGACGCACTCTGCGGCGTGTGGCTCAGCCGCGCAATCTTCTCCGGCGGCTGTGGCGACGGTGGCGAGCGCTTCTTGCTGCCACCCATTCGATCATCCCCGCCGCCACCACCGCTGTTGGACATGCCACGCTCTGGTCCGCAGCGACCTGCCACCGAATTCATTGGCACTGACGACGGTGGCGGCCCTTGGGCCACCGATGTGGGCACATTCCCACGGTCGCCGCCCACATCCTCCTCCTTGATGTCCGCCTGCTTGGCCAGCGTCCGCAGGGCAGCTGCAAATGATCCGCGACTATTGGCCGCTGCGGCAGCGCTTATGGCACCCGGGGGCATGCCCACACCTGCCAGCTGCTGTTGCACTGCCGCAGCCACCGCCTGCTGTTGCGCTTGATGCTGCTGTTGTTGTTGTTGCTGCTGTTGGTGTTGTTGTTGCTGCTGCTGCTGTTGGTGTTGCTGCTGCTGCTGCTGGTGCGTCTGGTGCTGCTGCTGCTGCTGCTGGTGTTGCTGTGGCGATGGAGTGCCAATGTGGTTGCTGGGCAGGGCGTGGTTCAGCAGGCCACTAGTCTGGTTGGGCGGCACCGGGCTGCCGGCCACACCAGAGCCCGGCGGCGTCTGCAGGTGATGCGGCACGGGTATATGCGGTGCCGGGCTGGTCGCCGGTCGCTTCTGTCCAGCCTTGGGCGGCGCTGTAAAGGGAACGAGAGAGAGAGAGAGCATAAATTACGGGCTGGGTTAGTCCTCTGAAGTGGAGACAATGGCGAAACATGTGGGGAAATCTGAGACCAGTCCGTGGGCAGCCTCGGATGCATCTACATATGTAAATGGAAAGGGACAGGTGCTCGTACTGCTGCTCCCTACTGTGTCGGATTTCCTTTGCTAATAACTGATTGATGTCGCCTCTCTGCGCCTCTCTGTACCCAAAAATTGCGCATTCGCCTCGTTGCTTTTGCGGTAATTTGCATACCCATGGAGGCGCACGGGTGGCACCGCGATGGTGGCAATCGCTGGTCGAATGCAAATTGCAAAGGCCTGAAACTTGCATTTCGGACACGGCTCACTCAGGCATGCCGGGGAGGCAGGAAGCCTGCTCTCCACCTTGGCCCCGCCTCGGCTTTTTCCTTTTGATGACGACTCCTCCGCTTGTCGCAAATTGCACGCCCAACGAATTTATCGATTCACGTTTTGCACGCTGCGAAATTGCTTTCAGATATGACAGGCAGCGAGGCAGTGAGGCAGCGAGGCAGCAGTCCAGCAACCAGACCAACATCTCGCTTCGCTGCGTTCCGTTCCGTTCCGTTCCGTTCTGCCCCAGCTCTTTGGCAGCTCCACCCATTTCAGGTCAGATCAGGTGATGGTCCTCCACTCGACTCTCCTCCACTCGACTGTCGCATTCAATGCCAAATGGAATTTGCAACGACAACATCGATGACATCGCAGAGGCTGCTGCAGAGGCGGGCAGCTACGATGAGTGCGAGTGTGGAATATATGGGGGGGAGACCATTTCGCAGGTCCTTTGTGTACTTTAAAGCTGGCAAAGGGTGAAGCCCCAGAGAGGGGCTGAGGCAGATGAGATTTCAACTAGAAAAATCCAACAGCAACAGCAGCAAAAAAATAAATATGAAAATATTTGCCTGCATTTCGGCAGAAAACCAACAGCCAGCCACAAAAATATGTAAAATGGAAAAGGGAAAAACCAAATTGCAACAAGAGGAAGGCCTAAAAGGCCACCCCGTGTGCCACCCAACTAATCCCTGCTCCTAGACCTACTCCCACTCCCACTCCGCCTCCTGCATTACCCCTGCAGTTTGCACTTCATAGATTGAGTTTTTCTGGCATTTTACTTGCATTTATTTAAGGACCAATAGCAAAGGAGAGAAGCGACTTGCTTCTTGTTTCCCACATGCAAATATGCATCCACAGAATGTTTTCAATTCTGTTGTTGCAATTGCGGCAAATGTTGCAGTTGCAGATGGCAGGTGGCAGGTTGCTGCAGGTCGCTGCCAGGACTCATCAGGATAGCGTCTGCTGCATAAGCTTTTTGGGTTTTGGGTCGAGCATTTTGTGTCGTTTAACGTAGCAACAGAGGGAGAGGTAGAGACAGATTTGTGTTGCTTCTCCCAGTCTCCCCTCTCTCCTCTCTCCACTCTCCTCGCTGACGTGTGTATTTACCAAACTAAACCCAAATAATGCCCGAAACTGCAGCAGAGGAACGAAACATTCGATGTAGAATACAACAATAAAATGACGACAACGACGAGAACGACGATGACTACGAATGGGAATGCGAATGCGAATGCGAATGCCAGGCAGTGGTGCAGAGAGAGAGAGAGAGAGAGGGCGCGGGAGGTGCTCCGATTCTGCTGCCTGCACGAAGCAAAACCAAACAAAGCTTCTCGATGGCTCGACGGCTCGATGCCATCGTTGACGTGGCTGGGCTGTATTTGCCCAACTCTGCAGAGTAGGGTGCGGGGGTGTGTGTGTGAATGGGAACTAGAGAATCTCCTAGCTGCTAGCTGGGGAATCGGCCTAAGCCACTCTCCCTTCCTCCCACCCTTCGATTGTATGCCTGTTCCGTTTGTTTGCATGGGTTTTGTGTACTTCAACATGTTCCCCAGCAGCAGCAGAGACCCAAACTCTAGTCCCCGAACATGCCACACCGTTGGCTGTCATTTTGCATTTGCCACACCCAGCAGCACCAGGCACACAGAGAGACTGCGAGAGAGAGAGAGAGAGAGAGAGAGAGCGAGCGAGGGACCCTGCTCAGCAATAGGCTGCGATATTTGCCGAATTTAATCAGCGCACTGACACGAGAGGCACCGCAAGACTGACTCGCCTCGCCTTTCCCATCCGCCGAATGTGGAGCGATATGGCAGCGGTTGCAGTGGCAGGTGCAGCTGCAGTTTGGAGTCATTAAAGCATTTCGGAATTCGCATTTAGCCAGCAAAGTGTGGAACTTAAAACTCAAGTACTGAAACAGCTGAAGGATGACGCTTTAAGGGTGCAAATAGAGTTCAGTTTGGGATCTACTTCTGCTTTGCCTCTAACCTTCTAACAATCCTCTAGCTGCTCGCTCCTCGCTCCTCCTCCTGTGGTCCTGCAGCACTGCTCCCCCCCCCTGCAGCTAAAATCTCTAATAAATTGATTCATCCATCATTTATGGGCCAGCCAGTTGCTCTGGTCTGGGTTGCCGTTGCCTCTGTCTCCAATTCTGTTAATTTGCTCAAATGCAAAACTAATTTTCGCAAAGTCAATTAAGTGTACACCGGAGAGAGGGGTGGTTGTGGCAGTCGTCTGAGAGCATGGAATGCCACAGAATGCAATCATAACTGCCAATAAATGAATGCTGAATAAATTATGCAATGAAACAATGCCCCAACCACTGGGCAATGCTCAATGCAGCCTCTGCCTCTGCCTCTGCCACCAACCCCAAACCACTCGAATCCTGCCTCCTGCCTCCTGCTACGTATTGGAATCATCCAGCAAATGATTATTATTACTATTGTAGTGCTAGAGGGGTGCTGGAGGGGTGCTGCAGGGGCATGCATTTTGAATGCATTTCTGCTTTGCTGTGGCATTTCTGTCACATTTTCGCATTTTGGGGTTGCAATTCGATCAAATTGGTTTTTCTCGCTTGGATGTGCAATATTAAAATGTTTGCCCACTCCCCACCGCCCCCCTGGAACCACATTAACACATGTTTCCATTCGCTCATACTCAGAGCCTCAGCCTCAGCCTCAGCCACAGCCACATCCTCCTTCACATCCACATTCAACTGCTGGCGGTGCTCCGCTTTTGACATTATGCTAAAATTCAGAGCCCGAATGGAGCTCATTCCCATGGCTCCCACACACACAACACACACAACAAAAATTGCTTGCCATGGGGAGAGAGGGAACGAAACTGTCGACAGTTGCAGGCGATTATTCCACCACAACTAATTACAGTGGCAAACGGGAGTTCAGTTCAGTGCTGCTGTGGCCAGGATATGTTTAGGTCAGCCACAGGACCAAATTCACATGGGCCACGACAAGTGCACTCTTGTCCAGGCCATGAATAATTTATTTAATAAATACATTCACAATTAAATCAAATGCGAGAAATTGTGTATGTGTGTGTGTGTGTGTGTGTGTGTGTGTGTGTGGCCTGGTCAGAGGACACGAAGGACACGGCACACACTCCCCCGGTAATGATGTGTAGAAAGAGAGAGAAAGAAAGAGAGAGTAAAATGAGCGTTGAATGTGAAGCCAAGAAAAGCGAAACCTTAAGGGGAAAATCACTGAAGAGTGCTTGAAATTGATTTTTGTGCCACTGTTTGAGGATTTTGTTATCCATTTGCAGGTCTTACTTCCCCCAAAACCCCATCAGAATTGCTAAATGTTTCCCCTCCCTTATGGCGCTGCTCCTCCTCCCATAACCAATTTCAATACGGAACTGCACACACAGCATGTGGCAGGCACAGCTGCTGCCTGCGGGCTGTTGCCACAAACATTCCCCCCCCCCCCCAGGCAGCACCCAGCAGTTCCTTTATCCTTTGTCCGGCATCCTGCTAATGCAAATCTGAGTCTGAATCTTTGGCATTAATTTACTTTCGCAATTTGCAGCGTGTCTCGGCTCGGACTACGTGTGTGGCACAAATTAATTATAAATTAAGTTTGATTCCGTTGCAGTGCGGCCCACTGCCTGCTCCCTCTTGCTTCCCCCCCTCTGTGTCTCCAGCTGTGTGTCCTGTGTGTATGTCCTGCGGCTGCTGCTGCTGCTGCTGGTGGTGCACTGCAGCATTGGACGGCCGTCAACTGCTTCTGCGGTTTCATATGCAATTATTTGCCATTTGTGCTATGCCCCGACCGGACCGGTCGACAGCTGCCCCAGCCCCAGCCCCCGTCCCAGCCACAGCCCCAGCACGGTGGTCAGTGTTCCCCCCCTGCTCCTGCCCAGTTTTGGCCACACTCGCCAAGGGGCCTTTTGAAAAGGCGGACAGGCAAGCCAAAGGAAGAGCTCTCCCTGCACTGCACTGCCCTGCCTCTATCCTTGCCGAGCTGAAGAGTAGCCGGAAGCTGCAGCAGGAGGAGCAACGGGAGTTCAGTTAGTTGGCAGCTCATGCATTAATTATGGCTGGTCTGTTGCGGTTGCAGAGACCCCCACCCAGTGCCAGTCCAGCTCCAGCTGCCCCCCAATTCCAATCCATTTTTGGGAGGAGGCAGGAGGGAGCACATGGACACATGGACACAAGCAAGCGCAGCAGCAGGCAAGACCGTAGCTAAAACTGACCGCAGCAACCGAATCCCAGCAGGAACCGCCCCGGCAATGCCATCAATTTCGAACATCGACCATCGACGGAGCACAGGCACAGGCCCCAGCACGGAACGGAGCGGCTGTGGTCACGCCTCCATTTAGCTAACTAAAATTACCAAAATATTCGCACATGTCCGAGGAGAGAGAGAGAGAGGAGCACTAGGAGGAGTAGCAGTAGGAGGTGTAATATGATTTGGACATCCCATCCCGCATCCTGGCACTCTGAACCGATGACCCCCCCCCCAAACAATGTTATTAGCCACACAAAGCAACAATAAATATGCATAATAATTTCATACATTATCATGCAGCTGCAGTTCCTGTGTGTCCAGGAAGCAACCCAACACATCCCCCAACCAAGCCCATACACACCGCCAACAGATCCTAAACATTCGGCACTTCCTGCCACTAACATGAGGATAGAAGTTGCAGTTGCCTGCAGCAGCTTGTGGCATCGATGGCAGCGCTAATTGGGTAACAATATTTCTGCTAAATAATCATTTTCAGACTGGGCACAACATTTGCGAGTTTTTCTTCAACAAAAACGGACACAGAAATTAAATATGAAATATTACAAATAAAACAAATCAAGGGAAGGCAAAGGAAAATCAACAAAAATCAACAAAATAAGCAACAAGAAATGACTGCATTATATTCGGTAGTTTATTCAGTTTTAAACTTTATTTTCCCCCTGTTTCCGCTGTGTTTTTGTAGCGCTAATTTGGCTCATTGAGTGCACTGACAGCGGCTAACTCTAGTCTGTAATTACAAACTTCAAACGAAAAGCCTGCCCTTTCTGCTGCTACGATTTCCAGCATAATTTCCACCTCAATGCTGCTGACGAAATGTCATTCCATTTTGTGGCTGTCCGCCATCATATTTTATTTCATTTAAAGTTTCTAGTTTCTAGTTTCTAGATTTTCCATGTAACTCGTGGCAACATGACTGCTGGGCTCTCAACTAATTACAACTTGTCGCACTTCAAAGTGAAGTCCACCACTCAAAATTGTAGCCACAACAAGGGCGGAGAAGGTGGAACCTTTCCTTCCATCATTTGTATAAATATTTATCATTTTCATTCGTTTTTGTTTTGCTGTTTTTCGAGTGAAGCCGACACCCAACCAGCAGCAGCAATTAAAACTTGTTCGTCGCGTGCTGCGTTTTGTGTGTGTTTTTTGATGTTTTCTAGTGTTTCGAGTATTTCGAGTCTGTTCTGCCATTGCCGGCGGAATATAATTTCATGGAATTAAACATCGATTTTGAGGGCACAGAACATGGCCATTGCCCTCACACCTACAAATCTCTCACTCCTTGTGTGTGTTCTGGGCAAAAAGAGTTCGTTTTAATTAATTGGAAAAGCAAAAGGATTCCCAGCAATGTTGTCTACACGACGCCAAAAATGGTTCGACTGCATTCCGGCACGCAGCAAGGATGAGGCAAGGATGAGATGCCACCACACAGAGCGGCAGCGAGGAGGCTGCGTGGAGGGGGGGAGCGCAAGAAAAATGTTTGCAAACTTTTCGGCTCGCATTCGTACACAATTTAAATAGTTTGCAGTCGCATTTTCTGCCTCGAAAGAACACGTACACCGGGGGACACACACACAGACAGACAGACAGACAGACAATAAACAAGTGCCAGGAATCACGAACACAAAGGAGACGACGACTGCCAGGGAGCAGGAGCAGCCTGCCAGATATTGTCTTGCACAAGCAGAGAATTCCAACCACACTCGCTCTCTCTCTCTCACTCTCTTACTGTCTCTCTTTCTCTGTGGCAATACAATGCCGAGGGGAGCTGCTGGCATGTCCAGAATGAAGGAATTCCACACTGGAAATTCCCAGCACGCGCCCAAGAAATGCACAAACTCCACTACAGTCCAGTACAGGCAGCAGCACCACCACGAGGCGGAAGAGGAGAAGCAACAGCATACCAAGGCTAGAGGAAGAACGCACTCTGGCAGTTCCCCTGAGCAACTAAGAGGCACCCCCACACACAGATGATAGATGGGTTCTTGGGTTGAATACATAAAAACACAAATGAACACACGCAGGCTGGGCATGCCGAAAGGTATGCAAGTTTTGAAGGGCTGCCAGTCCCACAGTCACTCAAAGTGTACGCAAACCTTCTGCCTGGGCAGCCCCAATAAGACAGCTCTGGCAAATATTTCCAATTAAATCTCTAAGAAAGCAGCAGCAAAGAAAATAAAAACACTCAAAGGGAAAGAGCTGCGGAGAGAGCCAGGAAGTAAAATTAAAAATGTAGTTGCATGTGCATGTGTGTGAGTGTTAAGGACGTGCCTGAGATAACTCAGTAGGAAGCGGCAGGATACAACTCCCTGGCTGCTCCCTAGGAAAACCTTTTGAAAATGATAACTATTTGTGGGGCAACATTTTCCTCTGCTGTTGGATGAGCATCCAGCGGCACGGATGATACTTACAGTAGAAGTTATTTCTAGCCCTTGCCAAATGGGTAAACTCACCTGAAAGAGACAGAACATAGATAGATTAGCACAAGTTTCATAATAATAATAATAATTATAATAATACGACAATCCCAAACAACCCAAGATGATCTGTGGAAAAGGAATGCATAAATATCTGTATAATCCAAGCAGACAACTGCTGATGGATGTCTGAATTGGCAACGTCAGCAAATGTTAAGGATAAGACCAAGGATACGGGCTGGGACAGCAGAGCCCCTTCTGATTAAGTTGCAGGCACACCACACACAGACGCACACAACTAATTCCGCTTAATCCTGGCAACTGTTTCGCAGGATTTCCTGGGACTTGAATTGGTTTCCCTTTTTATGGTCACACACCAGCACCAGCAGCAGCAGCACACCGTCAGCCGGCAATCGGCACTCGGCACTCGGCACTCCTCTCCTCTGCCATGGTCTCCCCAGGGGTCTTTTGTATGCTTTGTAACTGCCTAATTTTGGTCACAAGGGACAGAGGGAGTGAGTGAGAGACACCGCCCGCAGCCCAAACCCAAACCCAAACCCAAATCCAATTCAGAGCCCGCAAAGGCGACAACCGGCAGTCGACCGACGACCGACGAGCACTTTGTTAATCCCGTATTTATGCGCAATTACGTATTTTTCGCATTAGTCAGCCAAGCAGTCAGCTTCGGGCAAGGACTCTGGCAGAGACTGCGAGTCGGGAGAGTCGTGAGTCCTGGTAGCGGATTTGGAGTCGAGACGGATTGCGGATTTCGAGTTGAGCGTGTCTAAGGGATGTTTGAGATGCCTTTAGCCGCTGCCTCCGCCTCCGCCTCCGACTCATCCTTTCTGTCTCTGCCTCTGGGTTGTTGTCCTCGCACCGCCTCCTCGCCCCTTTTCTGCACCCTTTGCCCTACACAGTTGATCCTTTTATTTAGTATTTTCCACTTTTCCTCTTCTCTTTTTTGCTGCCATAGACCATGTTGTGGCTGCCTTTTCTTGGCTTAGCGCTGTCGCAACCCCCACTCCCCACTCCTCACTCCCCCCTGCCTGCGCTCATTATTCTCTCTCTATTTCTCCTTTCTCCTCTCTGCCGCCTGTTCTCTGGCTGCTGGCTGCTGGCTGCTGCTGTTGATTCTTTTTATCTTGGCAGTTGAAAGGCGTTGCTGGGTCTCGCCTCCGCCAGCTGTCGCTGCCCTCGCTCGACCCTCGCTCCTGCTCCTGCTCCTTCTCCTTCTGTGTGTCTGTCCGTCCGTCGCTGCCTCTGACCCCTGCCATTGCTGTCTCTCCCCTTTCCCCTCTCCCTCTTGAGTCATTTACTTTTTACTGCCGCATAATATTGTCCCGATTAGCACAAACACAACGTTTTACCACAAAATCATCATCATTAGTGACGCTAACGCAAAAGGCTCTGGCTCTGGCTCTGGCTCAGACACAGACAGGATCTGGGCACAGTCCTTGTCTTTGCACAGTGGTGCAGGAACGAAGGTAAACAGGTACAGAAATGTTTTACAATTATTCAGTTCAAAGCATGAAAAATGCCTTCGAGGGATAATACCTTGTGTTTCTGCACTTTGTTTGCCTGCTTTGCCCCACTGTGCCGAGACGCAACAAAGCAGAAACACGGCACGAACTCCCAAGGACGTCGCTGGGCGAGAATAAGCAGCAGAAGCAGTAAAATAAGCAGCAGGAAAACGGGCAGGCAGGCGGCAGTTGGCAGTTGGCAGGGGACGAGGCAGGCGGCAGCAGGGGCGGGGGGATGTGGCAAAAGGCGTCCATTATGCGAAGGCATCATTTAAGGGGATTATTTTATTTGGGCTCTAAACAATAAAGTGGGTTTATTAAAGGCAAACCAAGGCCCCACCAATACACACAGCCTCCTCCAGCAAACCCTCTTGTGGTTGCGCCACTCCCCCCGTCATTCCATTCATTCTCCCTCAGGTTTTCCCTCCCGCCTCGCAGGATGTCTGTGCACAAAAGATGTTGCGCTATAAAAGTGCAAAAATGTGTTTTTCGCTCTTCAAAGTGCTCCTGCCCCTCAGCTCTGACACCCTACGGCAGTTGGCCCCATCCACCATTCACCATTCACCCACCAGCCACCAGCCACCCACTGGCACTGGCATCACTGGTGGCTCCTGCGTCCTGTGGCTGCTCTTCTTTATTATTATTTTGTGTTGCAGCCACCACTGTTTGTACAGTTGCGTGTGGAGGCGGTCTGCGACTTGGCTTCAGCCTTTCTCCGTGCTTTCTGCTTTTTCGTGCTTGTCCCTGCCGCCGCCTTCCTTTTCCCACACATTTTTGATACCCTTGCAGCGGTGGGTATTATGGTTTTGGCAATGGCAAAAGCAGAAGCAGCAGCAGCATAGAAATCTGTATATTTTATATTAAATTAATTTTTAATATTCATACAAAGGCGCGCTCCAAATTTCAATTATACAACACACAAGTCTGAGCCGAGCAGCAAGTTGGAGCTCAACACATTAGCCAAGACTTAGCACCACCCACTACCCGCTCCCAGACCGAATGGCTGGGGCTTAGTCAGCTCATGGAAATCGCATTACAGAGCCAAAGCTGATTAGCCGCAAAGGAGAGAGAGAGACAGACACAGACACCAGTCAGCAGAGAGCAGACAGCAGCAGACTCCTTCCTGCTCCTTCCTTCAGTCAGACAGAGAGGAGGAAAAAGCGTATTGTTTTTTGATACTTTGATGCGCTCTTTCTGAGACAAGAACAAATAAAAACACGCAAATTGTGCTCAAGATTAGAACTGAAGTAAATCAGAGCAATACGAAAAGCTGAGCTAAGAAATTGGGGGAGAACTTCTTTAAGTTGAAATTCTTCGAGAAGAAGTTGCACAATTTGAAGTGTTTCTGCACCCCCTTTGGGGTGTTAATTGATTTTAGGCAATTAATTTATGCAGAGACTTGGGGAAGACTCTTTGCAGTAGTCACAAAAGAAAAGATCGCAGCGGAATGCACTTCAAAACTTTTGAGCAAGAAACTTGAACACCAAAGTAAACGAAAAGTTCAAACACTTACACCAAGAGAGGAGCAGACAGCGAGAGCGAGAGCGAGAGGAGTGCACAAGTTTTTGGCGACATATTTGGGACAGGATGGTTGCGGACACCATGTGTAGACAGGCACTGATCCCTGGCACACACACACACACACACACACACAGCACACCCAGGAAAAGGTTAAGCGAAACGAACCCACACTGACTGGGCGGGCAGTCAGGGGTTAAGGCTACACCAGGGCAGGGGTCAAGCGGGGAGGGGCGTGTCTGCCCTGCAGGCCACACAAAATGAAAAGTTTCTCAAGCAAGTTTTCAACCAAAAATGGGGAATGAGTTTCCACAGAGAGAGAGAGAGAGAGAGCGAGTCCGGAGAGTCCCCGGAGACTGTGTAAATTTTTGGCAAAGAAAAACAAACGAATTTTCGAAAATTCTTTTGCAGTATTAAAATTTTTGTTTCCTGTTATCCTCTCAGCATCCACTTGTATGTGTATGTGTATGTGTATGTGTGTGTGTGTGGGGGGGCGTGTCTGTCCGCATTTGGCTGCTGGCTTTTTAGTGTCAAAAGCTGTCGCCCTTCCATGTCTCCCATGTCACATAAGTGGCTCGAGGGGGAAAAAGGTGCAGATGTGTCGTCCTAAATGCTGGCTGGCAACGACAACAGCATGTTAATGACTCTGACCCCTTCTGTCAGCTGAAGGCGTAACAACATCCAGGCACATCCACAGAAAAGGGACCTGGACCTGGTCCCTTCTGGGGTCTGCGCTCCTGCTGCGTCCCTGGTCATTTCGTGTCTTGCCTTGTCTTGTCAGGAGCTGCTTAAGTAATTGGCATACAAATTTACTCACTCATTTCCCTGTCTGCTACTGTCCCCCGAGAGAACTCTCGTTAATGTTGCTCCCTGGCTGCCCTGCAGCCCTTGCAGTCTGTACATTAATTTCCAATCTGCCAGAATCCATGTTGCAACACTCAAATACAGATGTACCCCTCCCCACGAGACAATCTAATTGAATTTGTATATGGCAGGCAGCTACTTCTGAGAAAGATACAAATTATTCAAGCACTTGCCGCTGTCCGGCAAGAGTGCAAGCGGAAGAAGAGTGGCGGGCGGCAAGTATTGTAATCATCATTCGTGTCGTGCCGTGCCGTGCCGTGCCGTGGCACACCCTAATTTAGACATATCATTTGGAGGGACTGGCTTCTAATAAGCCCAATAATAGTCAGAGTACTTATTTGACTCCACTTTTCTACACTCCACTGATGCTGATTGAGACATCTGTGTGCTTGCCCGAACAAAATGGAAACGATAGACAATGGAGAGCATGACGCTGCCCGATGGATGATTGTTTGTGCAAATTATTAACATTTCAGTGGCGATTCTCGTTGCTGTTACTAAGTAAATATTGATTTTAAGTCAAATAAGACACAACACAAGAGAGTAACAGCTACAGACAGATGGAGAAGGAGCAGCAGTGGAATATTCAAGTGAAAATCAGCCATCAATTGACATTTAACAAAGTCACTTGTGTATTATTTTTGGGAATTAATAATAAAGCCTTTGTCTGTCCGCTGGCAGCAGTGTTTATTTATTTTATATTCCAATTCAATTTACCAGAAAAATAACACAATCATAAAACACACATACACACACACACACGGAAATAATGGCAAAAGTAATTTTGTTTTGTATATTTGACGGGCGGCAAAATCTCATTCTAAAATATTTACACACGAGTTCGGTGGACAAATGAATTACAAAACGTTGTTTGATTTTATAGTGGGGATTATGGCGTGGGGTGGGCAAATAATTCAGTTTATTTAAATTTTAATTGACTTTGTTTGCGGCCAAGTCGATAATTGAATGATTAGTTATGCAAATGTACAAGCAGAACAATGAATATTCCACTGAAGAGAATTCCATCTATTCCTGCCCTGCCCTGCCCTGCCCTGTCCGTTCTTTCTCTGTGTGTGGCATAAGCACATGTTTCACTCGGAGAGACACAATTTACAAGGTGATAATTTTTCCATG